AAGATTCCAAGAGTTTCTAGCTATTAATTGGTTTAAATAAACACCATATATCACTCACCTAACAACTTCATCTCTTTGACCAATGAGGGAAGTGGTCCAGGAAGGTTGTTCAGGTTTTCCAGCGGTTTCTTCTTCAACCCAGACTAGAAATGTCAACTATCAAGTAAAGACAGCATGTCTTCTGTTCACTAACTACTGGAAAGAACTCAGAATACCGTACTACCTATTCTATCCTCTATCAGAGCTAAAAAATGAAAAGTTCCAAAGTTAATGCCATGGTTAGTATAGAGCTTTCTAAGATGCTGGGTGGCAATTAAGTGTGGATAAGAGGTCAAAAGAAAGACCTACAGACTGCAGAATCCAGAGTGCTTAGTTCCAGGTGAGTGAATGAATCATTTGAATGGAAAGCCCAAACTTAGTGTTTTTCTTCTCAGTTCTTGCCATGACTACTTGATGAGAAGACCATAGTGGGTAGCTATCTTCTCTTTCCATGCCTATGCATTGCACAATTCTTCCTAGGAAAATCTGAGTTATAGCTACCATGAATCTCTGTAATGCTGGCAAGCTTTGAGACCTACCATTTTTATGTACACTTACATTTATATAAATACACTGTACATTTATACAAATACAGGCTGTGTTAGAGTAGGGCTTTACTCCATTTGGAAATTGGCATTCTCAGTACTCCTCCAACATTGAGCTCCAACAATCTATTGCTGATATTGAATATTCATTCAATAGTCTATAAGTGATACTTGGCTTTAGAATCCCCTCTTCTTCCTGCATGAAGTCATAAGATATACTTCATGATATATAAACAAAATGTACAGAATTTATCATTGAGAGACTGTTGATTTGCAGTACCCGTTAATTGGCTTTGCAGGATTCTATGATGCCTTCGACTTATGTTTTAGTAACATTCCTTCCATTATGACTTCCTGTCCTATTTTATAGTTTCAAGTACAGATGATCTTCCCCTTTGCCCACTTACTCCTCCATACTGATTTGTTGCCTTTGCTGGGTGTCTATTTTTCCTCTTGCCTTTACCCCAGATTAAATTGTTCCTAAATTATACCAACTCCAGAAAGACAATCCAGGCAGCCCATTCAGTTTTCCTATGAGAAATCATGTGATATATGGATTTATAAAAAAAAAATACACTTAACTCTGAGCACCCAATTGGAAAGACACCTTTTATATTTCTATATAAAATGATAAGAAAGACAACTTCACCAATAGCTTTGGGAAGGAATGACTACATCAATGAAAGAAAGTAGCATGCCTCAAAGCACCAAGCTGAATAAAAGGGCTAGGCATGGGGCAGCTGGATGGCACAGTGGATAGCACACTGGCCCTGGTGTCAGGAGGCCCCGAGTTCAAATCCGGCCTCAGAGACTTGAGACTCACTAGCTGTGTGACCCCGGGCAAGTCATTTAACCCTGATTGCCTTGCAAAAAAAAAGTGCTAAGCATGTTCAAAGAGGGGTAGTAATGAGTTTGATTCAAGAATAAATTATATGTAAGAGAGCAGGTGTGCTCAGAAATGTTTACAAATTGATTGGGGGCAGGGAAAACACAGGCACGATACTTAAACAACGTTGTTAACATTTTCTCCAAGAGTATTTTAAATCTAGACAATCAAAGAAACAATAAATCAAGGCCTGATTGGTACTGTTTCCCAATTCCTAAGGTATAAATGCTCACACTAAAATTTTAACTGTCCTCTGATCTGGTTCCAGCACAACACTGTGAGTAGGAGATAAACTGTTGCTAGAACAACGAAAAGGCAAACCTTCTGATCTTGTGAGCATGAACCCAGCTCATATAGTCACAGGATCAGGAGAATGTCTTGGTATCTCTGCTAGGTTATAGCCTGATTAACAAGCAACTTTCAATAGTAAGTCATAACTGACCAGTTAATGGTGTAATTTCTACTGGCCTTCACAGTACTACAAATGCATAGGAAGCAAATATGAGGAGAGAGGGGAAAAGATTTCAGACTTGTATTGAGATGAGACAACACATCTCTGGTGCTTTGGGTCCTAAAGTCGATTCCCTTTTGTATATGTTTGCATGTCTATCCTGCAGCATGATTTCCTTGCAGAGAAGGGAATGAGCATTTACATAGCATTTACTATGTGTCAGGAACTTGGCTAAGCTCTTCTTACAAATATCATCTCATTTGATCCTCACAACAACCCTGTAAGTTGGGTGCTATCAATACCAATGGGGTACTATTATTATCACCATTTTACAATTGAAGAAACTGAAGCAAACAGCCATTGAGTGACTTGCCCACAGTCACACAGCTAATAAATGCCTCAGGCCAAATTTGAACTCAGATCTTCTTCTTCGCTCTAGGCCTACCACTATATTCATTGCCTAAATTGTTTCCTGAATTATGACTTTTTTGGCAAACTGTGCTGATATGGACAGAGTTAACATTTTAGGTAGTTACCTTTCAATAGCTGTGTCTTCAGGCTCTTCAGAAGCCTGATAAGTACATCCTTAGACCTTTTCTTTCTTTCTAGGTGTGCCAGTCATCCAGAAAGGTAGGGTGAGAGTTGAATACCAACAAGGATAAGGAATTCAGAAGTGTAGCATGTAAGAATTGGAAAGGACTTTGGTTATCAAGTCACTTGGACTTTATTCAATAGGTAACAGGAAGTCATTAAAGATCTAGTAGCATGACACAATCTCTGTAGGACTGATGGGGGCTAAGAAAGATAATAGATAGGTAGACAAGTTAAGAAGCAATTATGGTCTAAGCAAGATGTAATGGAAGCCTGTAGTACTAAGGTGATGGTGGAAACAGAAAGGAGAGGACAGAAATTATGAGGGAGAACAGTATTTGTTACATAAATATTCCATCCAAAAATCATCTTGAAGTTTTAGTGAATTGCGACCTCAATGAATTAATAGTGTGATAATCAAGTTACTCATTCAATATGGAATTGCATCAAGAGACACATAGTATACAGAAATTATTGTCTAAAATGAAGCCTTCCCCTGATCAGATCATTTCTGAAATAGCAGGGTTAGTTCTTGGTGCCACATATTAGAAAGAACATTGGATAACCTGCAGAGCACACAGAGGAAGGATAATGACCATGATGCTGAAGGACCTCAAGATAATACCCTGTGGTTAAAGATCTTGCCAAGAATTATTTAATGGAACCAAGGATGCTAAGTCAGAAGGAAAAAAAAGCATTTGAAGGATTATCACAGGTAAAAGGGATTAGACTTATTGTATTTGGACGCAGAGGGTAAAATAAGAAGCACAGGCAAAGTCCCTAAGAAGGGACTTAAGTTTGACATTCATCGGGAATTGATGTTGTCCATAAAGTAGGCTGGACAGTCTCAGGAGGAAACAGGGATACCCTTTATTGCAGGTCTTAAATCAAAGTGTGGATGACCACTTGTGGGATACATTGTGGTGGGAATTCATGTTCACATGTGGTTTAGACCAGTAGTGTCAAATTCAAATAGAAATGGGGCCACTAAATCATACAGAAGGATCCCTGTGCTGCATACTGACTGGGGGAGGGGGGACATAAATTAACATTATCTGTGTTCTATTGTATTTTTCTTTATCTGTTCAATGTCTTCCAATTACATTTTAATCTGGTTCCTGCCACATTGAAGAGGGTTGTGAGCCCATGAGCTGTGTGTTTGACACCTCTGGATTAGATCATACTAGATGACCTCTGTGGTCTCTTCCAACCCTGAGATTCTGTGATTCGGTGACATTTACTTCACAGACAACATTTCAGAAATAATTGTTCTGCAAAGTATTATACATTTTCTCAACCATCAGGACACAGCAGAGGATACATTTAATCATCAGCAGAAAACCATGCTAAGCATTGTGTTTCATATCTGCTTAGTGATATGGAAAATGTATACACTGTGTAATGTAACTCATTGTCTTTTGATTTATTAGCATTAAAAGCCTCTGTTAGATTTCCTAATGTAAATACCCAAGGCTAGACATTATAAGTATGTGTTTTATTATAATGAAAATGAATTGTTTTGCAGTATCTTTAACATGCATTAGCTACATTAAGCAGCATGACTTGTTAGAAAGAATGCTGAATTCAGAGTAGAGAATGGAATTCAAATCCTGCCACCAGTATTACTAGGTCTGTAATAGTGACAAGTAAATTTACTGTTCACAGCCTCAGTTTACTCACCTGCAAATTCAAGATAATATTATCTATGGCACCAAACTCTAAGCACTATTTTGCATATCAAATAAGATATATTTAAAGTGCTATGGTACAATTCAGCTATTGTTTTGAAATTAAATAAAGATCCTGATAAAATACAAAGTCCTTAAGGTCAAGAATTAGTTCATTTTTGTCTTTTGTCTTTCCATTCAGATTACACCAATCACTGCAGACTAAAATATTGTCAAACTATTACTGCTATTTCAGAAAAGAGGCCTTAATGTTGTTGCCTAAGCTAATGAAAGAAAGCAAATGTTTCACAGTATATACAAAGAACCTACTAACCTAGATGAAACTCTGAAAACTGGGCTGTTAACCTTTCTGTTACTGAACTCTACCGTACCTAAAAGTTTCCCTTAAACTATGAATCTTCCTTAAATACTTGAGAAGTTTCAATAACTTTGTTGGACAAGTGAAAAGGAAATCCTGAAGTCTTTTCTCTGCAGCACCTGACTCTTGGGTACCATGCTAAATAAGAAGGGATGGCCACTTGAAGTCTGAATTTCAGGATCAAATGAGCTATGCTTAGCCCAGGCCTACCACAAAGTAGTCACTTCAGTAAATACTTATTCCTTTCTCTTCTTCCTTGAACGAAGCAGCAGAAGAACTGAGGCCTGAGTTTGCTGGAAAAATAGGGAGGTTGTGGGCTGAGAGGAAGATGGGATTATTATAAATTGATTTGCATATGACAAGATATGTATTCTATAAATCCTACAAAGTCCTCATTAAGATCCTTTTCCTAGTAATGTCTAAAATGCAATCCATTGATGTGATGATCTTTTCTGCCTTTTCCACAGCTCGGAGTTCAATGAACAAGTCAGGACCACACTGTGACTGAATTTGTCCTCTTGGGTTTCTCTGGTCGCTGGGAGACACGAATCTTACTCTTTTCTCTTTTCTTCATAGTCTATATCCTGACCATGGTAGGGAATGGAGCCATCATGTGTGCAGTGAGATGGGACCAGAGACTCCACACACCCATGTATATCCTACTGGGGAACTTTGCCTTTCTGGAGTTCTGGTACATAAACTCCACTGTGCCCAGCATGTTAGAAAACTTCCTCTCAGAAACCAAAACTATCTCTTTTGTTGGCTGCTTCCTCCAGTTCTATTTTTTCTCTTCCTTGGGTACAACTGAAATCTATTTCCTGTGCATCATGGCTTACGATCGTTATCTTGCCATTGCCACCCACTACACTACCCAAACATCATGACCCTAAAGCGCTGTTGCACCTTGATGTCTCTGTGCTGGGTGCTTGGCTTCTTAAGCTATTTTCTATCTACTATCCAGCTCTCTCAGCTATCATTCTGTGGTCCCAACGTCATTGACCACATTATTTGTGACATAGATCCACTAATGGCTCTATCATGTGTCCCTGCTCCAGCCACTGAAATTCTGTTCTATATCCTAAGCTCCCTCATCCTCTTCCTCCCCATACTCTACATCCTTGGCTCTTACATCCTCCTACTAAGAGCCGTGCTAAAAGTTCCTTCAGCCGCTGGCCGGCGTAAGGCCTTCTCCACATGTGGATCCCATCTGGCCATAGTCTGCCTCTTCTTTGGGAGCCTTATGATCATGTATGTCAGCCCAACATCTGAGAACTCAGGTGAAGTACAAAAGATCATAAGCTTATTCTACTTAGTGGTGACACCATTCTTGAACCCTCTGATTTATAGTCTCAGAAATAAGGAAATGAAGGCTGCTCTGAGAAAAGTCATGGGGATAACTTCAGAATAAACAAAATTGCATACATGAACTTTACATGTGGTTCTGTGTTCTAATGACAGACAATTCAATTTAACACACAATGATTAAGTGCTTGCCATCAACAAAAAAAATGGAAGAAACATAAAGATGAATGAAAGACCATTGAGAAAGGCATATTCTTCTCCTACTACTCCTGAGGGTTAAGAGCTAAGATAAGACATCTTCTCAGAAAGATCCCTCATCTTTACCTTCTGTGCTATTTGGATTGCCTCATTCTGTTCTGCTATTGACTGCTGGAAATAGACACATTTTTATATAATCTACTCCCTCTTTTTGTGACTGAAGCCATCCACTGAGACAATAGGATTTTAGAAGCTAAAATTAAAAATTATCTGGAAAAAAAACATGAATTGAGGCTTTGATCTAACAGAACTACAAGTTGACTCCTTTGCCTGATTTCTTTAGACATATTATTATAAATTGTCTCAGTGAATTCAAGTTTCTTTATCAACAAGGGAACATTTCAGTGTACAAAGAACAAAAAGGGATTATTTATGAAATCATGAATTACTTTAAGGAACAATTTAGTGGTTTGCTTTTTTTCAAGTGATCTTAATTACATACATACCATCCATCTGAATCCAAAAAGCAGCTGTTCAATTGCATCCCACTCGTTCATGACCCCATTTGGGGTTTGCTTAGTTCAAAGATAATGGAGTGGTTTGCCATTTCCTTCTCCAGCTCGTTTTACAAATGAGCAAACTAAGGCAAACAGGGTTAAGGGACTTGCCCAGGGTCACGCAGCTGGTAAGTGTCTGAGGCCAGATTTGAACTCAGGAAGATAAAGTCTTCCTAATGTCAATCCCAGAGCTCTTTCCACTGCAACATCTAGCTGTGGGACCAAATTTAAAACAAAATGGTCCCTGCCATCAAGGACCTTACATTTTACTGATGCAACAAATATGTAAACAGATAATTAAAAACAAAGAATCCACAAAATTATATAAAGTAATTTCAAGGGAGAGAAAGCCTTAACAACTGAGAGGGGAAAGGACACTAGAACTCTATCTTGAAGCCATGACTTTCAGGAGGCAGAAATGAGGATATAGTGTTTCCCAGATGTGAAAGACCACTTATGCAATTAGTCCTTGTGGCCACTCTCTGTACATCTGGCACTAGAGATTTTGGTGTGGGACACATAGTTTCCCTTTGTTTTACTGGGTAACCATCCGGGGATGCTGGAAGTCGTTAAATTTTCAGTGTAAGCATTTACACATTGATTTATTGTTTTGTTGATTTCTGGACTTTAGAAAGAGATAGAGAAAATGTGAATCATGCAAATTCAATTTAAAAGTGTATCCTAAATAAAATTGTCTTCAAAGAGTCTTTGGTTAAACTTTTACCAGCACACCCCTGCTAACAAATTAACTTCTCTTTTCTTATTCTTGGATTCACAGAATGTAAGCAACACTAAGCCTAGGAAACAAAAGGTATGCCTTAGCTGCTTTGGGAACCAAGAACTGACTTTTTATTTTAATGGATAAGAAATCCCACCAACACATAGAGAAGACTTTCCAAGTCTTCTCATTCTATGCAGTTCTTATCCGTGTCATCTAATAGATCCTCCATAAACAAGCTATGGAACATGCTTATGACCTTCCTCTTTGTCTTTGAATTCCAAATGGGTGCATTTTGTAAGATTTCAGTAAGATGAAGTACTCAATCCTGTAATCACAATAGCATAAACCAAAATGATAATATAACAAAAATGAAACCAGACCTGTAGAATAGATAAGGAAATGTACCTTCTTCCTTTCCTTGGAGAGCTGGGAGACTACAGAAAATGGGAAATGGAAAATGGTTACTGTGTTAATAAGTTACACTTATCTCTTCTTCTTTATGATAAATGAATACTTATTGGACTGGTGAGATATAGGGGTTTTGGAAAGGATTGTGATGGAAAAAGAAAAGTTGTAAAGCATTGATTTTTTAAAAATTAAAAATACAAGAAATTCAGATTGAGCACATAGTTTTATTTTCAAAAAATTCTGAAATTCTTTAAGAATAATTAAAAAAAATATTTAAACATCATGCTCAAAAACTAAGTCCAACTCACTCTTATCCTTTATTCTCACTAAATGGGGAGCCCTCCTTTTCCAAGCAAATATTTTTTTGGCTAGGCAATGGGGTTAAGTGACTTGCCCAGGGTCACACAGTTAGTGAGTATCATGTGTCTGAGTCTGGATTTGAACTCAGGTGCTCCTGACTCCAGGGCTGGGCTCTATCCACTACTCCATCTAGCTGCCCCCAAATATTTTCTTGATGATGCATTTTATGACACTTCATGTAGGCAATTCATCATTGGTAATATACTGCAGCCTACTTACACTTAACATGCCTCTCTCTGTTGTCCTTTGGGTCATACACAATTGTGATTCATTGTAGGTTCTATTGTTCCTTCATTTCCAGACAGATGGTAACCATCCTTGAAGATTATTGGTGTTAAAAGGAATGGTATTTGTGTCAGGGAAAAGCTTGGGACTGTTAAAAGTACCACATGATAGTCCACATGAAATACAACCCACTTTCCTATTCAATTTGTGGACCAGATCATTGTCCATCTACAATGTCCAGCTACAAGACACATAGAGACAGAGACAAAGACAGAGACATAGAGACAGGCTAAATCAATGAGCGGACTTTTGAACTGCGTAACATGATCTGTGGACTATTAACTCAATTCTTTGTAAGAGACCATGAATCTCCAGTATTCTGGGCCTTGACACAAACAGTACAATATTATTTACAAATTAGAACTCCTGGGAAACCTCACAATCCATAGATCTTACCTATTTCCATTTCAGCTCTGCAAAGAAATACATGATATTGGCAAAAACCATTGCCATGATAGTGGCAAAAACCTTTAGCACCATTCATTGTATTCTCTCCACATTTCATCAGTGTTGTGACTCTGAAAATGTGATCTCTGTGAAAAAATAAATCATTTTCAAATGCTTCATTGTTCTCTCATTTTCATCAAGGCTGTCTTGAAAACATATTTAATATGCTGTCATAACTTATATAGATAAGAAAATAGGCATATGAGTTAACAGCTCTGTCACCATTTTTTGGTAAGGTAGGAGGCATGGAAGACAAAAGAATTGGGTAAACTCCTCCCCTTTCATAAATGGACTGCTTCCAAGGCACCTACTCAACTGCTTCAACATGAGAAGGATTATACAGGCCAGAGAGGGAGAAATGTATGGGAACTGTCACAACTAGAGAAATACTCAGTGTCACATCAATGTGAAGTAAGGTCATTGCTAATGTTGCATGGCCCCTGGAGAAAAGGGGCCACTGCCAGATGGGAGTCATCAGAACAACTGGGGAACACAAAGCCAAGGAACAACAAGCCATAGAACCACGATATGAGGAGCAAACATGAACCAGTCATTTGATTGTACTGTGAATCATGTGGATTGCATAGGTTACAGGTTGGATATGTAACTTGCCAGCAACTCAGAATAAAGTAAACTTCGCTTGAAATTCCAGGAGCTCACATGTGAGCCCTTTCAAGTATTTGAAGACAGCTATTAAGTCTACTATTTTCCAGTTGAAATATCTCCAATTTCTTCATCATTGTAAAACGTGATCTCAAGACTTTTCACTACCCTAATGACCAGAGCATCACAGAGCATGACTATCACTTCCTTATTCCTAATGCTGTCCAAGATCTTAGTACCTTCTTTTCCTGCTGAATCTCAGCTCTGACTCATACAGAGCTTTTGCAAACTTCTGAAACCTATGGAAATTTTTCCAGACAAATTTGCTACCTAATCATTCTTCCTCTCTTTCAATGTGCTACTAAGTACATTACTCCTAATAAGATCTGCAGAAATGAGTTTTTAAAATAGTAAAACAAAAAAAGAAAGAAAGAAATGACTGGAATGAGAATGGAAGTATTGAGTGCATATTAGGAGATACTAGCTATATAATTAGGGGAATGACCATGGAATAGACTAGGTTTATATCAATATATGTGAAAAGGTGTTTAATAAATTACATGCTCATCGTGGTTTTTTGCAGAAAGGAAGAAAATCACAGCAATAGAATAAAAAGAAAAGAAAATTTTTAAAAAATATTTATAGCTTGAATTTAATGATATAAAGTTGCATTAGATAAGCCAAGTAAAAGGATTCTGTTACAGATAAAGATCATTAGAAGGAAGATGTGTGTGTGTGGCAAATATTTCATCAGGGGGTGAAAAGAATTATCAATCATTAAACTTTTACTCATTACAAAGAGAAGATAATTTCTCAGTGGACTTCTCCCTCCTTTTTAAACTAATGGATGTTCTCCTGAGATCCATCTAGATATATCCCCAAACATGGATTTATTTCATTGTACCTCACTAAGCCTAGAAGCCAGACTACTAGGAATGAGGGAGAAGATGCTAGTGTAGAAGGGACACTTAAGGCAGAAACCAGGGATTCTTGGAAAACACCTGGGACAGCAGGGAAATCATTTATTTAAAAAAAAAATCTGTCCCGTAGGAATCTTAACTCCCTTTGCCATCTCCCCATCCCTTTCAAAGCCCCTTTATCAGGGATCAGACCCCAAAAGTTTCTAGCTATTGGCTGCTAAATAGAAATATCTACCCAACTAGTAAGGAAAGTGATCCAGGTTTTTCTGAGTCTTCTTCTTCAATTCAGGCTGGATATACCAATCTCCAAGTAAAGAGAGCACCACAGCTGTTCTGCTTTCCTCTATGCACTAACTAATCCAAAATACTCTGTTCATGTACAATCTACTCTGTATTCTTCCAGAGCTATTAAAAAAAAGAAAGAAAGAAAAGGTCCAGGTTTAGTGCTATTGTTATAGAGCTTTGTAAGATGTTGGGTAACAATTAAGTGTGGACCAGAGTCAGAGGAAAGACTTACAGAACAAAGACTCCTGGGCTTAGATTCTAGATGAGAGAATATGAAGTTTGAATGGGAAAGTCCAAATTCAAAGTTTCTCTTCTCAGCTTT